GGACATATACACAGGCCCAGCTCAGAGGGAAAAGTCAGCCTTTACAAACTCAAAGTCCAGGGAAGCACGCTATGCTTAGAATGAGTAGCTTCAAACCAACCCCTCATTTAGATGGGACATAACCCCCCCCCACTACAGATACTACCAGGGGTGCTGGCAAGGCAGCCAGTCCTACACAGGCCAGTGCACAGCATTTTGCTTTCTGTGGACAAATAAGCCCTCTGCTGGGCAGAGTTTGAAAACATATGACTCTTGGTGTGTCTCTTCCTGACAGGCTGTGAACACTCAGTCCTTCTGACCCATCCCAGTTGTCAGCCAGCTGTGCAGTCTTGCTGGCAGAGAAATATCGAGACAGCAGCTTTGCTTGGGCCTACATGTGGCCATTCCCACTTCCACAAGTGGGCACTGATTGACAGGTGGAGAAAATCTACAGTCATCCAGACAGAGAGATCCTCTATCATACTTAGGGCATGCAGTGATGGCTAAACCCCAGCATAATGGGAAACTTTATCTGGTCACTGTTGCAAACAACAAAGCACAAGAAAGAAAGCTCTTTCCAAACACGGAGTGTAACATTGCTCTTTTGGTTTCCATCTCTCCTGCTCAAAATTTTAAACATAAAAGGCCCAGACTCTGACTTACTTTGTTGTCTTCACCATCTGAAAAAGAAAACCAAACCAAAGCTAAAGCACTAGCTATTAGTGAAAGCAAAGACAAACCAGAAAGCAAAGAGCTCTGCGCCTCCTAGTAGGGGGTGATGAACCAGCCGCTGGTGTGGGATGCAGAGCAATAGTCTCCAGATGATGCCTCACACTACCTGACTAACCAGGAGCTAATCCTGACAGTTCCACTGGCTTTCCGTGTACCTGCAGGCATCAGAACCCCTTAGCATTTTTCTTTAACTGCAAAAATGAAGGTAACAGTAAATTAGTTTGCCTCATGTGAGGATTCAAGTAACACACTGAGAAAGCCAATGAAGATGTAAAGATGCCTGTAAATCTATACATATTTTTTACAATGAGACATCTTTCCCTACTGACGTTTATGCACCACCACCCAGTTATATAATATGCTAATATGTGCAACATATGTGCATAGTGAAGGTGGCATGTAAGCTTGTGATTGTAAATTCCAGGTAGATTTTGAACAACTTTCAGACCTTATCTACAAAATCTTCATGAAAAAAGAAGCATCCACTGACACCAAAGTATCCAGATTACAGGCTTCAAGAGAACAGATTGAGAACTATGTCACCACCTTTCACAATTCAATACCTGAATGACACTGGCAGAGGGCAATAGCTGAAGAAAGTTATTTCCTCACCAGTAGTTTAACATAATTTTTCATAATGTTTCACCAAAATAATCAAGCTTTCTCTATTTAATCCATTAAACTTTCTCTCTAAAAAACGTGTATTCAAGGAAGGAATGTAAACAAACATTTATCATTTGTTTCCTTCTATGAGTGGAAGAACTAGAAAACAGGACAGTATTGTCTTTGTAAAATACCTGGGTTGTGCTCTGTGCTTCCAATAAATGCAGAAACTCACTGAGCAAGCTATTAACCTAACAGCATGTGAAAACTACTTCACTGATTAGTTGTCAAAGTTGCCATTCTCTACAGAAAGCTCTGTATTTTAGCCCTCCAGAAGTGTTTCAGAACACACTGATTACCAGACTTTCCAGACACAACAGTGTTACTGACAGGTGCTATGGAATTTTCCCTGTGTGTTAGCAAAACATAAATCAGGTACACAGAGCTCTTGACAGGTGGACTTTTCCAGCTGGGTGTCAGACAATCCTTCCTTCATTCTCCACCTCCTCCTTCAGAGGTGTCTGTGCACACAGACCATCCAGCAGACCAGCTGCCTTCTGTTAATTTTTCCCTTAGGATTCATGTGTCCATATGTTCCCCAAAACACGGGGATCAGCTTCAGTTTCAGCAGGACTGACTGACTGTCCTTCAAGAAGGCTTGCTATTTGAGCTGATTTGTCAGGAGGAATTGTCACTGCTATAAATTTGGCCATCAGGAATCATCCAGCTGCTTTCTCAGCCATTCTCCTGATTTTGAATGAATTAGCTACCATAATGCTTAAGAGGATGCACTGAGATAGTCACTGCCTGCTCATGTCTGTGATCACATACTACACTGTTTCTGGCTCATTCCCTCCTTCAGCCCTTGTGCTTTCCCCCTACAACCCTGCAGATTCTGTAAGAGAAGCCATAAAAGCTGTGGACTCCTAAGGTGCCATTATCTGCATTTCCCTCCATCCGTTCAAGCTCATGTTCCCTGTAAACTGGTTGATAATTGACATTCTCCTCTTCTCTGAAGAGGCTGGGGAAAGCCAGGCCTCTTCACACATTTCTTCAAGGCTTGGGTTGGAGCACTAACTTCTCTGCTATGCAGCAAAATGGTAAGTGACCTCTAGCCTTTAAATTACAAAGGTGATTTAATAAAAGCCTAGAGCCATCCAAAGTGTGTACCTCAGACAAGGATCCTTGAACAGTGGTCATGAACAGTGCTACCCAGCTGTGTCCACAGGACTAGAAAATTACAGGTGGCTTGACCATTGCTGAAAGCACATGAAGGCAAAAACAGCATTTATCAATTTTGCTGATTGAGCACATCAAAGCAATTAGGAAGATCTAGGCAAGCTGCACCAGGGGCTGTAATTTCTTTCCACAACTGCATTGCACTGAGTCTTTTGTGTTCTGATATAAAGTCCAACACAACATCAGGTATTATTGATCAGTTTCATACCAGTGCTTCTAGGAATTCAGCAGAATGAAAATACTAAGGAAAAAGGGAGAGTAAAACCACATATGGTAGGAAATCACACATGGTTTTACAGGCCAAGCTTTTTGAGTTAGACCAGAGCATTTTCCAGAGGCTATTGTGGTGGGGAAATGCTGGGTGACTTTGGAAAACAAAGATGTGAAAACTTGTCTAGTAGAAGAAAAAGATGACAGAGCTAAGAAACAAGCTATGGGTTCAGTTCTTTTAGTGCTTCTGTACATCTTTGATCCCTTTATCTCATCTGTTCTTGACAGATTACAACTCTGCCATCACTTAGAAAAATCTGATCTCATGATGCTTTAGCCCAGTCTGTGAGCTGCTTCCACCCCACCATTCAGCTCTGACACAGACACTACACCAACCTGTGGTGAGTGGAAAGGCCAATTTCTATTGTAGCAAATTAAATAAAAATTACTTGAGTCATGTGTGTTGAGGTACACAGGCCAGCACTGAATAACAGGCCTTCAGTTTTCATCTGATCAACTTAGTGGTTACTGCTAGGAGCAACACATCCCAGACACTTCCTGGTTCACATGTATTCTAACTGGTAATAGTTTGAATCTGAATGTGTAGTTCAAAGAGAAGAAAGGGTTTTGCTGAAGTTACTGTATAGGATAGATTAATGTATCCAATACTGATTAAGAGTAGGAAAGAAAGAGTGGCAAGACACACTGATGCATCTGACAGTAAGTGCTTGAGTCTGTCATTTTAACATAAGTGCTTCCATATATGTAATTTGTGCATTTGACAGTTAATCCTATCTACATATAGCACCAAGACCCTCACAATTGCAAAGAATAATTTGAGACATTATAACTTTAAAATATCATAACAGCTGCATTCATTCCCCCCCCACCATTCCTCATTCTTGAGCTCAGGCCCTGAATTTCCAAAAGTAGATCTTTCAATACCCAAAGTGAAAACAACCCAGCCAACAAGTGTTAACTCCTTCAGTGGAGCAACCGTAACTTTGCCAGGGAAAAAGATGATTACTGTTGCATTGCCTGGACCATTTGCAGTCTGTACAATACCAAATATGTAGCACAGAGCTCCTTAAATGTTAATTCAACTCAAATATAAAATCCATGCTTTCTACTGCATTTGCTTTAACACCTTTGCCTTTATATGTTTCCAGGTTGGACAGATTCATAGCTGCCTCTTTTACACTGAGATTTGCACATCTTTTTCTTCAAAGCATCTAATAAGATATGCAGCTCACACTACAGAATAATTAATAGACAGGACAATTTCATATGGTAATTTCATAATTGGTAATTAAAAAGAAAAATCTACACAGAGCCAACCACAGAAAATAGAAGTGACTTCTTTCTCCACTGCCCACAAAAACCGTCATTATTCCCATGACTCATCACATCAGAACCCAGAAAAAAAAGCATATGGTATGAATAGTTCTTGTTAAAATTGCACATCTTTAAGCTCTACCAGGCTGGGTCCAGAAGATTCTCCTTCCTGAAAATCTTTCAGTATGCTCCAGTTTCTGCAAAGGTCTATGTTCAGCTGAGGTATACGAAAGCACTGGCATTTCCCTCATACCTTCACCCATCTCTTGGCAGTTGTTCTGTATTCCTGATTACTGCAAATATTAACAGTGAAATATGAACAGATAGTTCAGTAGTCTTATTGGGTTCAGGCAATCCCCTGCATATAGAAACAGAATACCCTACATGCCCCTGAGGAAATGCCAACTACAACCCTGGAAACTGCATGGGACAGCTAAGCTTCTGCAAAGGACAGAGCTGTTTCAAATGGGCACCAGTTTAACAGATGCTTTCTGATTTATTGTTCTCACATAAGTTTTCTTGTTCTTTTCTGTTTTCTAAAATTTGCCTCCATAGGTGCAATCAGTGCATAACTGCATGAGCAAAGCTGTGGAGATATAAAGAAGTCTAAGTAAGAACTATTTTTCATTCCAAGTTACTTTATCCTGGTAGCACAATCACAGTTCCAAAATAATTTACCTTAATATCAATAGATTTTCTTCCAGCAGGAAGCTGGAATTGTTTACCATGGACAAAAACACCAAGGAAAAGAGTGAACAAAAATAGAACACACCGAGTCTTGAAAAAGGCATAACTAGAAAAATTTGTCCTTTTAAATGGAATTGTCTTTGCAGACAACACTTTCCATGTGAAATGTCCAGAGAACTTTTGACATTTTGCCCATAAAAAGACTGTTAGAAACATTTTGTTTTTTCCCACTTTAATTCATTTTCATATTTCACAAAGCAAGGTAAGAGGCAGGCACACTCTAACTAAGGACTTAAGACCAGATGATGCTACAAACAGTACACTAGAAATGTTCCTGCATAGGAGAGGGTGGGGGAGGAAGACTGGCTGATGCATTTGACAAATTCGTGTCTGTTTTAATGAACAGAAATAATTTTCATTATTCATTACAAAAACCATACCTCTACATAATAAAAAGAAATATAAATGCTGTCAGATTGTGCATCTCTTGGTGACTCTGTTTTGGACATTTATTTAAAGGAAGCACTGAAACAGGGAAGAGCAAACCCTGTGCACTTCTAAGTCCAATAAAAGTCTTGCATTTGACTTTGATCCGACAGAGGAACAGAAATAATACAGGATAAAAAATTCTCAACACTATTTCCCCATCACTAGAGCTCACACTTCTGAATGGCATTTGCAAGAACCCAAAAAAAAAGTAGGTTTTAGGATACATAAAGAAATTAAAAGGTCAGACAGCTCCTGCTGTGGACAAAAATCGGATCTTGAATTTCTGAGACAACATTCCTCATTCTGCCTCAAGTCGAGGTAAGACAGGAAGAATAAGATTTCCAAATGCAGAATCTTGAGTTATGAAGTATCCTGAGGAGTGTGCATGTGCGTGCTGGAAAGAGAAAAGCATTTGTTAAAGCATCTCTCCCTGCAGCACTGACATGATTTAAGATTTCATGGCTTCTGCAGCATTATTTATTTCTCCCAGTTTGCTCCTTAATTCTGAAAGTCAAATTCAAACCCAGCATTTTAGATCAGCTACATCAAAATAAGGCCCATCAGGGCAATTAACTTGGGCATTCTCTTCTGCTCTTCTCAGCCAACCCCGTGGAGGTGGAGCAATCAACTCCTCATCGCTCTTTGCCTAGACCCCATGTTTCCACTTCCACTCCCTTCCATGACCAGCTTGCAATTCTTGGTTTACGACAGCTGCTACATGGAGCACCACCAGACAAAATCCCAAACATGGGACACCAGGATTCTGCTCATGTGATGTAGATATATGCTTGTTCACCTGAGGGAGGCAGCTGCTGTATGGCTCTGGAACACCTCTGTGAAATCCTACATGCCCTTTCCCAGTTAAAAAGCTAGATGTTCTGCATATTCCCTCCCTCCACCACTAGGGAAGAGCCCTGCTGGATCTCAAATTCAGCCTGAGCCTTCAGTGTGCCCTTGGAGTGATCAAGGACAACTGGCACAGTGAGCTGCACCAGCAACAGCATGGCCAGCAGGCCAAGTGGAGCCATCTGAGCTCAGTCTGAGACACAAACTGGGGGGAGCTCAACAGAGACACCACGAGATGGCTGTGGGGCTGGGTGGAGCTCTCCAAGCCCAAGAACATGTTTCACAAGAGACTTCACTTATGACAAATGCAGAAATGAGAGATACCTAAAAGGGGCTTTTCAATATTTCTAGGAGCGGGGAAGGTGCTCTCTGAAGGGATGCACATCTAAAAAGAGTCAAACTGAACTCTGACCGTATCAGCTCACCTGCAGTGCAGCCTTCTGCTGTGCTGCAATGTGCTGTTGCTCAGCATGATCACGGAAATCCTTATTCAGAGGTGATCTTGCAAGTGCAATGCTGCAAGAAAGAACAAGATGGTATGACACAGACCACAGCCAAAATGTGTTCTTGCCATTCTAGCCATGGGTACCATGACTTCCTGAGTTCTCATTTCACTCATGGCTTGGCAATTGTCAGTTACTGTTTGGAATTACTATCTGTAAATATAAGAGAAAAAAAGGGTAGGTGGAGTGACCACAGCTGTATAATTTGAGCCACCATAAACAATTTCTGCCAATCTAAACCTGAAGCCTATTGTGGATTTTGCCCATGGGTTGAGTCCACACTGAAGTGAATGAAACCAGTGGGGGGCAGTGTTGGACAACGCAAGGAATTTCTAAAGCAGCTTTGTGCTTTCACCACTACTCATTCACCGAGTGACTGTTCTAAACAGTTGTGACAAACAGAAGCACTAACAAGAGCTCTGCAGACTTCAGTATAAGAACAGATCTTCGGTGGGGGGGAAGCAGTTCACTACCTATGAAACAGGAGCTTCCTATTGATGTTAACTGAAATAATGATCCTTTGGTAACAGCTTGGAGTACCTAAAACTGATTTAGCATATCTATCTCACTGCAGCGTAAGGTTTCAAATTAAAATTTACTGATGCTTTTTCTTGTCTTTTATATCTTAGGACTCATCTGCCTTCTTAAACCAAAAAGAAGACATAAAAAGCACCCCCAACTCTATATATAAAGTAACATGGAAATTAGGTGAGGGTTACCATTGGAACTGTATCGCAAAACAATTCCCAACTACCTCTGAAACTGTCACTGGAGACTGCTGCTGAAATCCCTGCTCTTACCAATCACAGAGACAGAAGTACAAATGACAAGGATCCCAAGCAAATTCATCAACTGAATTTTACCAGCAGTTTCAATGTCAACAGCTGATTTAGTAAATCAGTTTTTGACAAGTAGCCATGCTCACGGAAAGATCTGCAGCCAAATCTATGCCTAAATGCATAACAAAAGCTAAACAATTCAGAAAAATTTTTGCTTATGGCAAGTATTAAGATAAGTCTCATTGCTGGAAAAGAGTAGTACTCAGTTTATTTAAAACACAGTATTTTCAGTGATTTTGGAGGCATTTAATTTGCAATTTGTAATCTGTACTCTCTAACTTTTCAATATGATTTCTGTAGATAAGCCTAAGGCTCCACCATAAGCTGACATTTTTCAAAAGAGGTCTTCTGTTCCTGGATACAGGATTTTCACATGCCAAGTCAAGAAATAAACCCATTCACCCCTATGCTATCCCTGCCACTGTTGTGCTTTAGGTACATCAAGCTCTATTGGTCAAGTTTGCACAATTTTTATGGTCTCAATTCTGACAACTCTGTGGTGCAAGACCTTTGGCACAACATCAAAAAACTGTGAGCTTCTCAAAAATCACACATCAGCCCACCACACCAAAGCAGAGAGTCTGACTGTTGCATTGTAGGTTCCACCCATGTCCACCTTCAAAACTAGAAAATTCTAATTCTGCTCACTAGAATACAGTGTTGTATTTCCTTAAAGAAAAAAGAGAGTAAACAAGCACTCCCTAAAGCTGTCAGGCTTATAATGAAGCACAGAAACACTGCTGCCAGGAGCTGTACATAACAGTATGATATTCTGATTTTCTTCACAACAATTTTGCTCAAGTAATAACCACATAAAGTTTTTAATAGTAACTTCTTACCTCACTCAGAAGCCTACATGAGGCAATTTCAAGTATTCTGCATGTTTTTTGACCTTATGAAGGAATTAAAAGTGCTGTGGAATCACTCAGAAGAAAAGACACAGGCAGCACTCAGACTGCAGTCAGAGTATTTGACTCTTACACAGGTGTTGTGGGTTACACTGTGTCTAGAACATGGCACTGCACTCACATCACCATAACCCCAAAGTGTAAGGATGTCAATTTCTCCACATAAATTATTGTGTGATTTTCTAGTTACTGATTTATGACAAAAATCTGATCTTCTTGTCTTCTATGGGAGAAACCCACTAACACGCTTCAACTCAGATTAGACTATTACACTTTACAATGTAGAATCATCCCTACAACACAGCATCTTTTACAGGATTATCTGCTGTAACATACACTGGTTTCATCTTGCACATAGGGAGTTTCAAGAATAACTCACTCCTGCTGTAACTGCTCTTTTCTAAGCACACAGAATCCTGAACCTAATGGTCTGCTACTTCCATTCACCAGAGCATTTCAGCTTAATGAAATGTTTTCTGAGTGGCTGCTTCCTGATTTTTCTTTATGATAGACTTTAATGCACTTGAGTAAGCGTATCTGCTTCTCTCATTCTCAAATGGAAATTATATAGGCCAAAATTCATGCTATGTAAACCATTTTAAGTATGTTCCTAAAGACCAATGTCCCTCTGCCTTGTTATTAAAGATGGTCAGAATACACTTCTGTTGAGTATTTATATAAGTTTACAGCTCACTAGCTGTTTGGCTTTTTTTTCCTTGATGTAATCAGTGATGGCCCAACAGGTCTAAGAACATAAAATACCTGGCTCCAGGGTGATTTGTGGAAGACTGGTTTTGCATAAGTAACTTTCTCTTCTCCTTGTCTAGTTCTGCCAGGATTGCAACCCTATTTTTATTCTGGAAACCTGGTGAGAATGACAGAAAAATATTAGAGATATTTATTTGACTTCTGTGGCCCAACTCTAACCCTGTGGAATTAGAAATCCCTGTAGAAAACTACTCTAAGATGAATACACTGATCTTCACTTCAAAAGACTATTATTAAATAGGCTTCATTTTTCAGCATGCAATAGCTTCCATAAGCTATCATGCATATTATTACATTTTAAACAGAAGCTTTTAACTCAAGTTAGAGCCTATCCCTTCCCAAGCCAGCACTGGAGCTACAATCAATGTTTATGTTTAAATAGCTGCCTTCCAAAAAAAAAAAAAGCAGTAAACTTAGCAGGTTCTACATGTAAAAAGTAGTCACTGAATGTTCAATTCAACAATAACAATGGAGTAATATATGCATGGGGCTTAATTTCTCATGTCAGTGAATTCAAACTGTAACACAAGCATTTCATATATATAACAGGTAAGAATGAGCAAATCACTAAGCTTGCACATGTGTTTATACAAACATGTTTCAATCAATCTATGAAGAAAAGTTTAAATATAATGGGCCCTATACACACTACCCTTACTCTGAGTATGATCAAATGCTGGAATAGAGAAGCAAATTTTAACCATTAAACTGTCCGTACACCACATAAGAATGTGGCCTCCATCTGCTTTCATCACTCTTCCAAAGCAACCTTGAATACTAGAGAAGGGATCAGGAAGAAGGGTGACTTGAGAGAATTTCAAAAATGCCCAAAATAGCTGCCACCCATGTATTCTTCAAAGTTGCCTTCTAAATGCAAACATGGCAAAACTCCTGCACCTACACAGGACTCATATAATAAAGAATCTCCCTGCAGCCCTCAAACAAACCAGAGTCACAAGCCCCTGCTATTGCCCAGTATGCCCAAACAGCACAGCTGAGGACAACAGCTCCAGAGCTGACTCTTACCTGCCTCTATGCCACCAAGTACACTCCTCATGTCAGAAATGCAAACTTCTTGAATCTCTTATTTCCTGCTGTTCTATAAATAACAAGCTATGACAACATCATTTAAAAAAAAAAGTTAAGAGTAAAAGTCAGCTCTCCTTTATTTCCTCCATGCAAAAAGTTCAAGATTCCCCCTGGAAGTTGCTGCACGCTGTGCCCCTGCCCTGCAAACTCTGTTAATGACAGCACTAAACATGGTAGTTCACAAGCTGTGAGGAAGGCCACACATGATAACTCTTAAGGAGACTATTAGCATGTCAAGGTAAAATGATTTATTTTCAGTAGCTGCACTCAAAAAGTTCATCCTCTTTGACAGACCGTGTCCTGATGCTCAGTCACATAATCCAGAATTCCGTCATCTACATGGCATAATGAAGGACACAGTCACCAGAGAGAAACCTTCAACTCTAAATAACAATATGCATCTGTACTGCCTTGCTATCAAGCTCTAACCTTTTTCTTCTACCATGCCTAATATACACATCCATGAACTTCAGTGTCACAAGAGTTCTCGAAAGGAGCACAGTCTTTTGATTATATTGTACTATGGTTTTATGTAAGATCACCCACAATTATTTTGATATTGGTTAACAAGATTTTCAGTTACATTTAATTAACTGGAATTTTTCTGTCCACTAATCTCTCCTTCCTATGTAGCATTAGCTCCACTTAAACTCTGTTTGATAAGAGTACTGATTCAGGCCTTTGATGTTTCTCTGCTCTTCGGGTATTGTACACTATCACTTTTTTTTTTTTGTTTTGAAGACCTTGCGCTTGCAATGAATCTGAAACCTTAAAACAGAGCTGACATACAAAGGCTGACAAATCTTGCCAACAAGCTAGGATTTAATATCTCTGAACCGCAGCTAGCCCAGACTTCACTTTCTGGTAAATTTTGGAGACAATGTGTGGAAAAGATGACTGAATCACCTCTTAGAGGGCCTGACCTAAAACAACCATATGTTTGTATGCTCATTCTACACAACTTTAGTCCAAAAACCATTATACTTGACATATTATTCAGCACCCTACTGATACTGGTTGCTTATCTTAAACTGCATAAATTTAAATGCATGCTTGGAATTCACAAGATATGATGATTATGGAAAGAAAAAGGAGACCACTTTTTAATATAAGTTTGTGATCTAAAAAAATAAAGATTAAATATACTTAAATTTATCATAAAACAGATGGTATGATTCAGAAAAGCCTGAGACATTTTAAATGCTGTTTTTAAACTGTGATCACAAACAGTAGAAGACTCTGTCTTCTATTTCGAGTCTTGTTACAGTATCTTGTGAAAGAAACTCTAGAGGTAGTCAGAAGAAACCCAAGTATTTTTTCTTTCCTCATACCACTACTAAGAGATTTGTGCTGTGCTTTTGTTTGATTGTTTGTTGGTTGGGTTTTTTTAAGTAGTATTTTGCACTAGAGTTCAGACAGTAACCACCATCAACCTGCTGTGCTGAAAAATTAATTTGTTTAAGTGAATTTGTTATTGGCAAGGGAAAAAAAGCCTGTTTAAGAAAGTGGAGGAGCATATTCAACACATACATGTTAGTACTCCTCAGCTGAGCAACGTGATCTTCCTGCAGGAAAACTTCTTCAACGTGCAAAGTAAAGCCTGTTCATTTAAAGGTTAACAATGGAAGGGGGGGAATATGAGAAATCCATTTTACAGAGAAATTCTGGCATCCTTAGAGAGTAATTAACCATATCTGGCAATAAATAAGCAAAACTTTCATTTTCTTCCCTGTTGAGGAACCCAAAATGCTTTCATAAAGACAAATTTGAAACTCCTACAGAAGTTTCCTGCTTCAATTATAAATAAGAGCAATATTTCATCTGCAGATTTGTCGGTTCTGCTTTCTACTTTCTGCTTTCATTTCTTCTAAAAACGTGGACATGCAAAAATCAAAAGCTGTCCTTAGTACAGACCAGATTCCCATCTGTGAAAACCAGTGCAGATTTTAAACACCCGAACCTCCTAATTGAGCTTTAAATCTAGACTTCCCTTCACTGGGCTGAGTTGTACTAAGATTTTGAGTTCGAACAGTTCGTATATTGCAGTTTATAAGCATTTTCCTCTGCTTTGCTGACATGAGTCCTGACACAAAACAATCTATTCAAGACAGTTAAATAGATCATGGGAGCGTCAGATGTCAAACTGAGCACCTAGATCCTCAGATTATTCTCTAATGTAGCAAATTCAGGACATTTAGAATTTAAACCTTTCTGACACCTCTGTTTCTGACATCAAGCATTGTATTTGTGCAGGATGAGAAAGATTACTTGCATCTATTTTTCTGCACATGAAAGGCAGAAAGCCAGAGAAAGCTGAAACCTTGCTGAGTGATACTGCCAGCTTTAAGAGCTCACAGCAAGCCTCTCTCTCTAACCTACTCTCAACATTTTATCTACCACCCTATCTAACCATTACCTATGTCAGTTAGTTCTTCTAATAAACTCTGCATAGCTAGCAACAGCATTACATTTATCTGTTTTTAATTTTTTGCTTTTCATTGATTATCTTTTCTCCTTGATTTGTTGCTTCAAATTCACAGGACATTTAAGTTTTTTCCAAGATGCACCGTTTATCATTTACCCATAGATGTGTAACAGCACTAAAAAGCCCACTGTTACTTTGTGTCCAAAATACACTTTTACTTAGAAAATGTTTTCAAAGCTGTGTGTGAGCTCCAAGCTCTGAACATTGAAATGCACTGCATTTTGTCCTGCCTGCTCAATTCATAAAGGACTTAAAGCAATTTCTTTACTGAAGTGCATGTTTCTATAAATGGCAGCATTCATTAAGTGAGGCAGCAGCCTCTTAAAAAGCAGAATTCAAAGTCCATATTAAACACACACCACTTGTGAAGAAAATGGAGTAATTCTATTCTGATGGCCTCTTCTGCTTATGATGACTGGCATCTCAAAACATCATCTAACAATCTGCTGCATGCCAATACTCTCAGTAACAATTTATATCTGGATATGCTTTCATATACTTGGTATGACAATGAAACAAAAGGTGTACTGGTTACTCAGTAAATTAAGTAGAATTACTTAAAAATACATTAGTATTTTGTCTGTGCCTCCAGAAAACCGCTACATACCTATAAGTATATATGTATATATGTATACATGTATATAAGTAACTGACAGCTTTATGGCTGCAAAGTTCTCAAGTACTATGTTTACACACAGATCAGACTCAGATTGGGAACAGCAAAATGTGTGGATGATGACATAATTCAATGCAGAACAGTACAATCTTCCTTTTCAGACTGGTGAACAGAGAGCCATATCAAACTGCTTAGCATGTGCCCTGGGAATGCCCCCACATATCTTTAGGGAAAAGAATAAACAACTTTCAGGACATAAAGAGACTCTCGAACTGCTGCAGCCTTAAACTTAGAATTCTGTTCATATTTCAAGAGCTTCTTCTTCCAACATACCAGAACTCTTCTTTTCTGAAATGTTCAGCCCTGTCTGAAGCAGGATCTGTATCTTTTCCACCTCTGAGGACCAAAAGAGAATTCTGTCCTGAACAGTTACATTTCTCTCATTTCAGACAGCTTTCTCTAGGAGAACTCACACACAGAGTGGCTAATTCAGTTACACACAACAAAGCTCTGGCCTTGCTGCACACAAGCACAGGCATTTCACAAGAGCAGCCTGATGAATCCAAGTTGCCTAAGTACTGTGAAGTATTGCAGTAGGAGCAGTGTATTCCTGAGCACGTGGAAGTATTTGCTCTAATTCAGAAGCTGATTTCCACCCCTCAAAGTGTATCGCTCTGGTCAATGAGTGCATGTGATAGACAAAACACAGCATACATACAGCAAGACCTTCTATTGCTTATTAAAGCCACAGTCAGTCTCGTGCCATCAGTTCCCTGTGGTACAAATGAACTGAAATAAGGCTTTTCATTCAGTTCTTCTTGGTTTTTCTGCACTCATATGCCACTCGCTACCAAGAGTGCTTTTCTAAGAGGCCAGTGAATAAAAGTCTGGTTCAAAACATCTTAACTTTTATAGTCCAAGTCTGTTATCAATGGAAAACTCATATTTACTCCTAAGAAAATATCTGATACAAATCAAAGGAAAAACATTAGTAACTCAGTACAAAAAATTCCCATCACTGTTTACCTGTGTAGAAGGCTACTGTTTAATTCATCCTTACAGCTCTGCCTGAGTAAGTGCTACCATTCAAAACCCTTCTGGTGAGCATTTCAGTAAACTTGTATGCTTTTTGTCCAAGTGAAGAGAATGGATTCCTTGAACAGTACTAATACATATGCCAGGAGGCAAGCTAAAAATGCAGTGTTTTTCACAGTCCTTTTCACTACCAGACTGCACCTAGCAAAGACAGAAACCCTGAATTGTTGTTCATAATCACCTGTTCCTTTCTAATTTTCCTAGTTGTACTACTTATAGGCTTATTTGGTAATTAAACTTGATAGCGTTTCTTGTCTCCTTAGTGCAAACAATTTTCAAATAATAACTGCATGGTTCCTTTAATGAGTCTATAAAGGATATCCCAAATATAAAAGATCCTAAGGGTCTACTAAATTAAAAGTCACTGGAATTGGGAGGGAAGCAAAAGTATTCTGGCCTTAAAATCCCATCTCAGTAAACCAAGATATTTAAGAAAAAGCAGCTTTTGACTCTCTGTGACAACATTCTATTCCTTGCAATGATGCTAATTTCGTGTTCACAGAATAAAAGCAAGATTTACCATTACGTACCAAAAACTTTCTCAGAGTTAAAATTTGCAAACAGACAGCTCTGCAATCTGCAGTACTTGTCTCTCAACACCTCATAAAATCTCAAAAAGCATTCCTGAAACTACCTCCTTTTCATCAAGTAGCAAGTAAAATCTGTGGCTTGGACCACATGAGTCATAGGATACCCCCTGAAGTATCATCCAGCAACACCAGGTTTGCAGGATTGCTTGAGGTAAGGACACAAAAAGTCCAAAAAGTCTCCACTTGCTGGGAAAACTGAAACCAGAATTCATTTCTCATAAACAAGTAAGGGAAGAGCCATACCTGAGAAGCTTTGTCCCCAGCTCTTCCATATAGGAAAAGCCTCAGAGCTCCCCTAAGGTTTCCAGAAAACCTCTAGAGGGCGATTTAAGATCCTCCTTCAAATTCACTGGGTGGCACTTCCAGACCCTCAGCCCCCTCTAAAGCACATGCAGAGAGATGGACCATTATTAAGACTTTTATTATTTTACAGATACAATTGAGATGCATCTTGGTATAAAGGAACAGTTCATCGCAGTTACCATTATGGTTTTAACTGGCTTTTTCTCCTAAGCCTGGCCAATTGCTGCTGTGACAGATATTACTGCCTGGGTCTTGCTGTTCCCATAGAATGTATTTGACTTCTGGCTGTTCTCTGATGTTGAGTGCAATAGCTGCAAGTCATGTTCAAGGCCAAGTGCAGTAAGTGTCTGAAATAAGCTTCAGGAAAGGATTACTGTAGCATAGGCTTGATACCTATTTCCTAACCCTGAGCACAACATTGTGCTCAGTAATAAAGGGCTTCCCAACCATCAGTGGTCTTTTCCAACCATTAAATGTGTGTGTACCTTGTCCCAGAAGAATTGCTGCCATTCTGCTGCTTTCAGCCCCACCTCTCTTCCCTTTCTTCATCTTTCCATAAAAATAAACTTAAGTCATGGTGATTTCACTGATATTTTGCATTTACTTTTCCTTGAATACTTAAATTAAAACTTACCTTGTCCTGAAGGATTTGCTGCCATCCTTCAATCTTCAGCCCTTGTTTTATTCAGCTGGAGTTCAAATCTTTTAACCCCCACAAATATCTGCAAAACAGGCACAATACAAGATGAACATACTCCTTTAAAATAAGAGCTTGGAATTCAACCTGTTAGAGACTTTATAAATATGGCAACTGTTAGAAAGCACAAGCTGAACACAGCATGTGTTTTGCTTAAAATATATTATACAGTTTATATTGTTCTGACTGAAACTTTGGGCTTGAAATAGCAAGGGTTGCGATCAATGCTTTTTTTCAGATTCTAGAAGTAGTAGTAACATTCGAGTATAAATAATATAATAATTGGAGTCATACAGACCATTTTCCCAACTGAACTTTTTCCTGACAAGGTATGTCAGGCTACACTTAAGAATCAAATCAAACCTTTGTAGTCCTTAAAAGCTGAAGCCTTGGAAGACCCCAGTTCAGGCTCTAACTCAAGAAAAACTGATTATTTGAGGAGAGACAATTTAAATCCCAGAGACAAGGCCAGCCAAAATTGGCTGCAGCTGTGGCAAAAAAAAAAAAGGAGGCCTGCTGCTCCTTGGTCATACGTCACCTCGGACCACCATCAACATCTGTTTCCATCAAGGTGCCAGGCTTTAAAGTGCAGTGGTGAAGAGCTCTGGCTCAGCCAGGCGGAGGCGAGGGATGGGAACGCTGAATCCTGCAGGAAACGTGAAGCACGAATCAGCCACACTTCCACAGGAGACCGTGTCATTGCTACGCTCGGGACCTGCGGGTCCCTGAGCAGCAACGCTGCGGTGAATCAATAACCCAATGACAGTATTAATTAAGCTCAGCGAGAGCGGTCGGGACGGGTTTCTCCAAGAGCCATGGACGGCCTGACCCACTCCCCCCGCCGCCCAGTCCCCCCCTCACTCGGGAATGGGCTCTCCCGCTCGCCTTCTCCCTCCCGCCCACAATGGACGGATGGCCTCCCTGGCTCGCCCCGAGCCGGGGCCGCTGCCCTGCCCTAGGCCAGCCGGCCTGGCCCAGGCCCCTGCAGTCCCGCCCGCTACCCACCTGCCCGGCCCGAGAGCGCGGGGCACCGGCTCCTTTCACCCCGCTCGCCCTCCCCGCAGCGCGACCGCGCCGCTTCCGCCCCCTGCTCGTGACGCTCCACAGCGCGACAGCGGCCGCGCCCTCCTCCCTTCCCGTGCCCTCCCCTCGCACTTCCCGCGCCCTGCTCCCTTCCCGTGCCCTCCCCTCGCACTTCCCGCGCCCTCCTCCCTTCCCGTGCCCTCCCCTCGCACTTCCCGCGCCCTCCTCCCTTCCCGTGCCCTCCCCTCGCACGTCTCGCGGCCTCCTCTCCTCCCGCGTCCTTACCTCGCCCTGCCCAGGCCCGGAAGGGTCGGGGTTGTGCCTGTGGGAACGGGGGCAGGCCGCGCGGAGTGTGGCGTTCAGCTGGGAGGCAGTGTTTGCCTGTGTTTGCTCCTGCCGAGGGCATCCCCCTGGGGATAGGAGCAAGCGCCAGGGTTTCACGCTTGTGCCGCACAGTGGGGGACTCCAGGCAGCATCGAGGTTAAATAGTAAAAAAACCCCACAAGTGGAAGGGAAGAGGTCGTGGAATCAGGTTGGAAAAGACCTCCGAGGTTATGGAGTCTAACCTGTGACCCAACACTACCCTATCAGCCAGACCATGGCACTGAGTGCCACACCCAGTCATTGCTCAACGCTTCCAGGGAGGCTGACTCCACCACCTCCCTGGGCTGGGCAGCTCATTCGAAAATCTAATCGCTCTTCAGGGAAGAACTTCCCATGGTGCAACTTGAGGTTGTGTCCTCTTCTCCTGTTTCTTTTTTTCTTTAAATCACTGCCATGCAGATTGTCTTTGAAGACAGCAGCAATATTTGGAATTAATTCCAGAGAGGTTTGTTCATGGAATTAGTGCGTGCTTTGCTTTTGGAATGTCAAGTAACAACGGTATAGATGAGGGTATCTGATTAAATGATCCGGTCTGACCTGGGGAATAAACCATAGTCTTAAAGCAGCAATCTGAGACTTTTTATGCCCTTGTGGTTAAAATATTTGAATCAAACTGGATTAAGTAGCAGCTGTAGCTTTGATTGAACTATTAAGGACTGCTATAAATACATGATTTAAAGACTGAATACAGATGGATCTGCATACAGATCTCTGACCTCTCTGTAGCCAAAAATCAGTCACATTGTCTACTTCAGTTTGATATGCAGGGTTTTTTTAAGGCATAAAATAATTTTCATGAAATAAAGACCCTTTTCTTCTTTAACTGAATGTAAGGACAAGAACAGGAAAACAGTTACTTTTTTGTATTACTTAGTTCAAGCTGTCTACGTAGACATGCTTTTACTGCAGGATATTAATTTTTTTCATATTCAGGTTTTGATGGTGTATGTAACAGGCACTTCTGAGAAAATGACCCTTACAGCAAGGGTGATACTGGATCTGGTAGTCAAACATTCTGCATGCTGCAGGGCATTTGATTTCATCTGCTTTCTCTTTCATCAAATGCTAGAAGTCCATAACCTCCTCACTCTTCAGGCCTAAAGTGGAAAAAGAGCTTATTAAAACTGTTGATTTAGTTACAATTTAATTACTTATATTGCTAAGAACACACACAGGGTCTATACGGTGCGAAATGTCACCCTAATTCATTAGCTTGGACAGCCACATATATACAGAAATATTGAAGGCAATTAGTTTCTAAAGATGTGCTGCTGCCAGCTTTACTATCTTAAAGAAATAAATTACATATTTGAGAGTGTACAGAATACATAAAAATCTTGTTAGTGTCTATAATAATGGAGTCATTTGTCTTAAAATAGTGTGCCTTAGTTATTATACACATGGATTTTATGAGTTAGGCAACAATCTACTAACCAAGCATGCTGTTCTTCCATTCGTATTTTTCAGACACCCACAGTGTTTGACATTTGTAAAGCTGAACAAATTTGTGCCTGAAAACTCATAATGTCCAGATGTAGAATTTAGTTACCTGGATTGTTTGCCTGGTAAAAGCAGTGTGTGTGTGTTTGTGTAGAGGTGTGTGTGTGCCTGTACCCAAACCAGCAGACAATCTCAGGGAGTTTTCTGTTTGCTTTAAAGCCCTGTTGATTAATACTGTGGGAAGCAAACATCGCTGCCATTCCCACATACTTGTATTTTTGTCAACTGTTCTCTTTGCATGAGCAGCTGACTGAGCACCTGCCCTCCTGATTCTGTTTTGGTATTGCTTTTGTTTTGTTTCATTTTGTTATTTCTCATTCTGCCTTTGGAAATGTAGTATGTGCTAATTTTTTTCCCTTTTAATTGGTCCCTTTTAACTGTCCCTTTAATTTGCTGACCATTTTATCTAGACACCTCGCTTGCAGTCGTTAACTGCTGAGGAGCAGGGTGAGTGAAGAGCAGCACAGCATGCTAAATAATAATCCTACCTAATAATAATCCTACAAACTAATAATCCTACCTGGTGGAATTCTCTGTGAAGTCATTCCAGGACTGAGGATGTAAGTGATTCTGAAATATGCAGTTTGAGGCAGACAGGCCTACCTGCTGTGCTCCTCTTTACACAGCTAACCCTGGCAAGAAGAATTAATTAGGACAGTGGTCCTTGTTTGGGGATCAAGAAAGGAAGATAGAGAAGGAAGAACAGCAGGGCAAGGAGGAAGAGTCATCAGCACGAAAACTCAGGTGAAGAAAAGCTGGGACTTGTTAATTCTACATTTCTGTACAAGTGTGGTGAATGTTGATCATAGCAGTAGCTTCCAGCATCTCGACAAAAACATGATCATGTCTCAAGTCAAATGATCCCTTGGCTTTGAGAGGAGTTTCACATCCATATATTATCAATTAATTTCTCCTTCGGTTGTAGAAACAGGAAGAAGTGTAACCCTTTAAAGGAATGGTGTCTAATCTCCAATGCATCAGAATACTTTTGCCTGAAACTTCTCCTTCTTGTTCAGCATAAGCAAAACAAAAAAACAACAAAAAAAACCAAACCAAACCAAAATGAAGCATTTATAGCATGTCTTTTGGAAACCCACTACAAAATCTTCACTTTAAAAGGAGGCCGTTCTTGAACACTACCTCACAAATCTTGCCATGCTCTTCCTTCAAGCATTAAATGCTCTTTTTCAGGCCAGCTGTTCTCATCATCTTGGAGTAGCGGGAGCTGTGTATCCCATTTTATAAACAAAAGCTGTGTTAAATTGAGTGTAGTTCTGAAAAAATATAAACTGCAACATGAAAATGTGGTGGGACAACCCACATAGCTGAAATGCTCCACTGGATGGCTACAAGCTCTTAAGCAGAGACAGGAAATGGGGAAGAGGTGGAGGGATGGCCCTTTACATTAGGGAGGCTTTTGATGCTATGGGTGTTGAAACTAATCATGATGAAGCTGAATGCCTGTGGGTAAGAATTAAGGGAATGCCAACAAGGCTAACATCTTCCTGGGAGTCTGTTATTGTCCACCCAACCAGGAGGAAGAGGTGGACAACTTATTCTATAAGCAGATGGAGAATGTGTCAGGATCACCAGCCCTTGTTCTTGTAGGTGACTTCAACCTACCAGACATCTGCTGGGAACTTAATACAGCAGAACAGAGACAGTCCAGGAAGTTCTTAGAGTGTGTAGAGGATAACTTTTGTCACAGCTGGTGAGTGAGCCCACCAGGGGAGGGACTATGTTAGACCTGCTGTTTGCAAATAGAGAAGGGCTGGTGGGAGATGTGGTGCTTGGAGGCTGCTTGGGGCAGAGTGATCATGAAATTACACAGTTCTCGATATTTGGTGAAATGAGGAGGAGCACCAAGAAGACTTTTACATTAGACTTCTGAAGGGCAGACTTTGGCCTACTCAGGAGACTTAGAGAGTTCCTTGGGAAGCAGCCCTTAAAAACAAGGGAGTCCAGGAAAGGTGGGTGTGCTTCAAAACAGAGATCCTGAGGGCACAGGAACAGACTGTCCCTGTGTGCCGAAAGATGAGTTAATGAGGCAAACGCCCAGCTTGGATGTGCAATGAGGTTTTGAAGGAATTTAGGAATAAAAAGAAGATGTACCATCTTTGGAAGGAGGGTCAGGTCCCTCAGGAAGTATTTAGGAGGCTTGCTAGGGCATGTAAGAAAAAAATTAGAGAGGCCAAACTCAGTTTGACCTTATTTTGGCAACTTTTGTAAAGGATAATAAAAAATGTTTTTACAATAGTAATGGCAAAAGGAAGGGTAAGACCAACCTTTGTTCTCTACTGGATGTGGGAGGGAACTTAGTAACTGTAGATAAGGAAAAGACAGAAGTGCTTAATGCCTTCTTTGCCTCAGTCTTTAGTGGGAAGATGGCTTGTCCTCAGGACAGCTGTCCTCCTGGGCTGGTAGATGGTGTCAGGGAACAGAATGGTCCCCCCATTATCAAAGAGAAGGCAGAGAACTTCTGAGATGCTTGGATATTCATAAATCTATGGACCCAGATGGAATCCATCCCAAGGTGATGAGAGAGCTGGCTGATGAGCTTGAGAAGCCACTATCCATCATTTACCAACAGTCCTGGCTCACTGGTGAGGTTCCAGATGACTGGAAGCTGGCCAATGTGACCCCCATTCACAAAATGGTGGGAAGGAGGATCCTGGTAATTATAGGCCAGTTAGCCTGACCTCAGTACCTGGCAAGGTAACAGAGCAGTTTATGTTGAGTGTCATCACACAGCACTTACAGCATGGCCAGGGTATCAGACCCAGCCAGCGTGGGTTTAGGAGGGGTAGGTCATGTTTGACCAGCCTGATCTCCTTTTCTTCCACCTGCTGAATGCAGGAAAGGCTGTGAATGTTGTTCATTTAGACTTCAGCAAGGCCTTTGACATCGTCTCCCACAGCACACTCCTAGACAAGCTGGCAGCCCACGGCTTGGACAGGAGCACCCTTCGCTAGGTTAGGAACTGGCTGGATGGCTGGGCCCAGAGGGTGGTGGTGAACGGTGCTGCATCCAGCTGGTGGCTGCTCACCCTGAGGGGTGTCCCTCAGGGGTCTGTGCTGGGGCCAATTCTGTTCAATATTTTCATTGATGACATGGACGATGGGATTGAGTCTTTCATTAGTAAATTTACAGATGACACCAAGCTGAGAGTCTGTGTTGTTCTCTTGGAAGGTAGGAAGGCTCTGCAGAGACCTGGAATGGTTGGGTGGATGGGCAGAGTCCAATAACATGGTGTTTAATAAGTCCAAGTACCCAGTCCTGCATTTTGGCCACAATAACCCCCTGAAGCACTACAGGCTGAGGATGGTGTGGCTGCACAGTGCCCAGGCAGAAAGGGACCTGGGGGTCCTGGCAGACAGCCGGCTGAACATGAGCCAGCAGTGTGCCCTGGGGGCCCAGAAGGCCAATGGCATCCTGGCCTGTATCAGGAACAGTGTGGCCAGCAGGAACAGGGAGGTCATTCTCCTCTGTACTCAGCACTGGTGAGGCCACACCCTGAGTGCTGGGAAGGACGTTGAGTCACTTG